GTATCTTAACTTGAATCCTCCATACCTTTAAGAATGCCTCTTGAGCTGATGCTTTGAGCCCTCACTAAGAAAGAAGCTATGCTAATCTGTCCTTGATGAGGCTGCATTGATCATCTGAGATGTGGAAAATTCATAATAACCACTTCACTTGGTGCTTATAGGAAGCTTTATTATTACTAATATTCCCTAACTTACTAATTTATAAAATATATAGCTTCTCACTGCTTATAACATTATGCTTCCAATTCCTACAAAAGCACAAAAGAGAAATTTTACTGGAGCTCCTTTATTTTAAATCAGAAAGTCAGGGCTCTTTAATAATGAAGACATTTTTAACCCTATTGTATGAATGAACTCCTTTGTGCTTTATAATACCACTGTCTAATGATCATTGAAAAAATTTTGATGGTACTGCATTAATGTGGTACTTAACAAGATGACCAGTCTGTATTAGCTTTTAGTTTAATTTTCATGTTATTTTAAATGAAAAGGAATGGCTGTCAGTAAAATAGAAGAGATTAAGTTCTTTTGTTCAGAGAAGCTTCCTTTATAAATTATTTTTTCATTTGTTGTTATTTTCCATAATTATCCTATAAATTACTTTTTAATAAAAATTATTTCAGTTATGTAATTTGTATCGAAGAAATTGCCACTGCTCTCCCATATTCGTGTGCTTTCTACTGTTTTTGTAGGCAGTACAGGGACCCCCCCCCATTTATCCCTCTAATGTGTGTGTCAAGTGCCATGACATGGCTCATTAACACAGATGTGCAATTGCTATGGGTGAAATTGTATTCCCTCTGCTCCCTGCAAAATGTCAACAACAAGAACTGAAAACCTGTTTTAATCTCTTGGGCCAATACATTCTGCATGTTTGTAGTTGTGTTTTTTATATATATACTGCCTCATGCATAAAAGGATTTTGTGATGACACTAAACCAGGATTAAGAGAGGTTTAAGTTATATTTGTTTAAAAAAGAATTTAATGGGGCGCCTGGGTGGCGCAGTCGGTTAAGCGTCCGACTTCAGCCAGGTCACGATCTCACGGTCCGTGAGTTCGAGCCCCGCGTCGGGCTCTGGGCTGATGGCTTGGAGTCTGGAGCCTGTTTCCGATTCTGTGTCTCCCTCTCTCTCTGCCCCTCCCCCGTTCATGCTCTGTCTCTCTCTGTCCCATAAATAAATAAAAACGTTGAAAAAAAAATTTAAAAAAAAATAATAAATAAAAAAAGAATTTAATGTGTGAACTTTTTGAAAGCTGACAGATGGAGTAACATTTTTAAGCAGTAAAGAAAGGGTGGTATAATTAAGAGAATACTTAATTAAAAGTTTGAAAGAATATTTTGTATCACAGTGCCTTACTAACTCAATGTATGATCTTCAGTATATTACTTTATTTCTCTGGCTGTTTCCTAATTTGTGAAGGGATCCCTCAGATTTTTAAATGATAAGGGTGAACAGTCAGAATGGGGCTTACATTCTTGAGAAGATAAAGATGCAGAGAATGTAGAGTGTAGGAGTTCAGAGAGGCAAAGACTCTAGGATTAGGTTCAGTAGCAGGGCCTCATGTATACCAGGTGCACACCAAGCCCTGCACTAGGGGATGAGGAGGTGAATGGGGCTTAATTCCAGCTCAGCTTCTGGAGGCAGGAGTGTGCCATTTTGTAATCTATCTACCCAGAGGGGATGTTTTTCTAATTTGCACAAAGGAGTTTTTTAGAGTGCTGGTTGCTGCCCTGTTCAGCAGATTTACCGTTCATCACAGTTGCCTAAACTGATCAGTTCGTAGTCACTGCCTGAATCCCTGCGTGGTGTAAGATATCTATTCCTTATGGAAGGAGGAGCAGTGGCCTGAATTTGTTGATTCCCAGTATTGAACTTTAATGGTTTAGAATGTAGATGTGAATATTTTATTAATTTCACAGTATTTGAAAATGCAGTCTCAGGAATCAGACTGAGTAGAAATTTCAGGTCGTTACTTACCAGTTTCGTAGCCATAGGCAACTTCCTTAATTCCTCTAAACCTCTGTTCCTTATTTAGAAAATGGAGATAATGATAGTGCTTGCCTCTTAATATTATAAGAATTACAGTACATGCATATATCATAGTGTGTGATACACTAGTGTCTTGTAGGGGAGTGAAAAAACCTCTTTACCCATTTTAGGTTCTCTTGCTAGAACTTTGTAGATTAGATCAGGTGAGAACACGTTAAGAAGAGAAAAACAAGGGTTTATTAACGTGTGTTTTGCACGTGGACACATGGGAACACCCCATAAGGGGAGTAACATATGGAAGTAATCCAAAGGGATGGTTAGAATTTGGGCTTCTATATCATGTTAGGTTAATCAAAAGAAAACAGGTTTCGGACTTCTGAGTGGAGGAGGCAAGTTCTGAGAACCAGAAAAGGTATGGTAAACCAGGGTTATTAATGCAGATTTACATCAGAGCCTTCTGCATTGGTAAGTGTTGTTAAGAGTCCTCCTCTTCCTTACACCCTGAGGGAGACATTTTACACATGGAAATTTCCCTCCAAATGTAAATTTCATTTATAAAACATAACATGTTCCCTGTTTTTAGAGCTTTTTTTCCTGCTTCTGTTGGTTATCAGTGACCTTTAGCTCAAAATAATCTATATGCCCCAGAGGCATATTTTGAGGTGACTGTATTCCAGTACCCTTCACTACCTGTTCACTTTATCTCTTATCCATTGAATTCTTTCTGTTTGCATTGCTACCTTCTGGATAATTGCAATAGCTTCCTATCCTGTCTCTCCACTCTCAGTTGAGAGACATCATATTAGATGGCCCTGAGTGGGTATAATATATGGCTATCAGTTGAAATCAAGGAGGACAAGAGTAGCATGGAGTAGGTACTAGAGAATAGAAAATATTTGGAACATCCATTGTAGAATAATTGGTAGGGTGCCTATAAGAAGTTTTTGTGGCCCTATGACTAGAATTTAGAATTGAGTCCCTTAATATAACCTTAAGATTTTCTATAATAGTGTGCTACAAAACAGAATTGGGAGTAGAGGAAGTAAACGGAGGTTGTCTAGGGTTGCAAATGTTTGTGAGTGTGTGTAATGTAAGGAGGGCAAGGATTCTCAGAGAGTGAGATTGAAATGGCTGGCCACAAGTTTCAGGATATAGAGCCAGGCACTCAAACCTACAACCTAGATACATGGAAAGCAAAAGGAATGAACTCGAGCTAATGTTAAGTAAGAGTATTAAGTTGCAGAGGAATATCATTTATTTTAGATTTAAAAAAAACACGTAAAATAATTATCTTTGTTTCCAGACTTTACTTGAAGCCCCTTTATCAGTATTTTTTAGGCAAAATTCTTACCATCTAGTTTCTCTGTTCCCATAACTCACAATAGATTTGAAAGACCAAATTTATTTATTTATTTTTTAAGGTTTATTTATTTTTAAGTGTTTATTTATTTTGAGAGAGAGCATGTGTGCATGAGCAGGGCAGGGGCATACAGAGAGGTAGAGAGAGAATCCCAAGCATGCTTTGTGCTGCCAGCTCAGAGCCTGACACATGGCTCTATCATACAAATCTTGAGACCATGACCTGAGCCGAAATCAAGAGTCAGGTGCTCAACCTGACTCAGCTGAGCCACCCAGGTGCTCCAAAAGAACAAAGTTTATTTTATTTTTTATATTATTTTATTTTATTGTTCAAAATTTTATTTATTTTTATTTTTATTTTTTTAATTTTTTTTTTCAACGTTTATTTATTTTTGGGACAGAGAGAGACAGAGCATGAACGGGGGAGGGGCAGAGAGAGAGGGAGACACAGAATCAGAAACAGGCTCCAGGCTCTGAGCCATCAGCCCAGAGCCCGACGCGGGGCTCGAACTCACGGACCGCGAGATCGTGACCTGCACCACCCAGGCGCCCTGATAAATTATATTTAAAAATAAATAGGGGCGCTTTCGGGGCGCCTGGGTGGCACAGTTGGTTAAGCGTCCGACTTCAGCCAGGTCACGATCTCGCGGTCCGTGAGTTCGAGCCCCGTGTCGGGCTCTGGGCTGATGGCTCAGAGCCTGGAGCCTGTTTCTGATTCTGTGTCTCCCTCTCTCTCTGCCCCTCCCCCGTTCATGCTCTGTCTCTCTCTGTCCCAAAAATAAATAAACGTTGAAAATAAATAAATAAATAAATAAATAAATAAATAAATATAATTTATTGTCAAGGGGGCTAACATACACTGTATACAGTGTGCTCTTGGTTTTGGGGATAGATTCCTGTGATTCATTGCTTACATACAATATCCAGTCCAAAAGAGCAAATTTTAAAAGGTTGATCCTGTTAGATGCAGTAAATGACTCACTAGTGAAGATGGAAGAGACACAGAACTACTATATTTGTCACAAAACAGGATCAAAAAGCATATAAATTTAGATTAAATGAATGTAGGATACACAGTCTTTATGCCTACAGAGCACTAAGTGCGCTTATTAAGTTAGTATTTGATAACTGATGTTCACGATTGAGACTTTGTAACATATCAAAAATCAATTTAAATTTTATTTGATGTAGTGTTTTTTTTTTAATTTTTAAAGTTTATTTATTTTGAAAAAGAGACAGCATGGGTGGGGGGTGCGGCAGAGAGAGGGAGAGAGAGAATCCCAAGCAGGCTCTGCAGTGCTGTCAGCACAGAGCCTGATGTAGGGCTCCAACCCACGAAACTGTGAGATCATGACTTGAGCCAAAACCAAGAGTCAGACACTTAGCCAACTAAGCTACAGTTGCTCTGGTATATTGTTTTTATAGAGAGAGGAGAATACGTGATTAAGATTTTTGTGAAAATGTTTATGATATGAAAAAATATCTTTTAGAAACTAGAAGGGGTAAGCTTCATGTATGTGGAACACATAATGCTTGTTTGAATAAAGAATTACTATAGTTTGAAACAGAATATGATAGCTTGAGAGATAAATGACAGTTTATAATTGTTGCTTGAGATATATTAATATACATTTTTGTTTGTTTGACAGATTGTTTAACGAACACAAGTGAAGAATTGTCAAATAGCACGCTATATTTCCTCAGTCTATTTAATCACACTTTGACCTGCTTTGAGCATAACCTTCAGGTATTTTATATATGATACTTGAAATTAAAATGATGCCTTGTACAAATGAGTAATGAATCATTTTAAAAATGTTTTACCATTAATTATTGATATTTATCTAGACATACAATGTAGAAGAGTAAGTGGACCTGGATATCTGCTAAATTCTTACATTAGTAGCCTTTAGGCAAATCATCAAAACTTTAGTTTTCTTACTTATAAGGTGGGAACAGCAAAATCTATCCTGCCTGCCTTCAAGTATTTTGTAGTGAGGATCCAATGAGACACTGAGTATGGAACACAGTAACTTAGGTATGTCATTGTTTAATTAAAACACGATGTTGTTCTGACAGTAATTTACCTTGACTTTGTTTATGCAAAAGGTATTATGTAATGCAGTATATGATTCTGTCTACAGGCAGCTTATTCTTTGCCTTAATATTTGCTGAAATATATTTTACCTGCTTTTAAAGGCACTGTTTAGTAAAGTAGCTTTGAATATTGAATTATAATGTAAAAGGTACCCTTTAAGAAACCTACCCTTAGGGCTCCTGGCTGGGTTGCTAGAGCTTGTGACTCTTGATCTCAGGGTTGTGAATTCAAGCCCCACATTGGGTATAGAGAGTACTTACTTTTTTTTTTTTTTTTTTTTTTTTTTGAGAGAGCAAGCAATGGGGAGCTTGATCTCATGACTGTGAGAACATGATCTGAGCTGAACTCAAGAATCGGAAGCTTAACTGACTGAGCTACCCAGGTGCCCCAAAAAATAAAATCTTAAAAAAAAAAAAGAAACTTGCCCTTATTGGTTTTGTTTTCTCCACCTCTGACCCTTGACTGTTGGTATTGGAACTTTCCTGGTGGTGGTAAGGGGTGATGTTAGAACTCTGATAAAATCCTAGATTTGAAATTTGCTTAGCAGGTAAGTAATCCCCACAAATAGATGTAAACATGTTTAGTATATAGGTATATATGATTCCTCTTTAATAAATGTGATAACACAGAATTATGAATTTCCATGAGAATAAGAACTATTAGATAAGCAGTTCCCAAAATATATTCTGCAAAGTGTGATTAATACATGGCCTATAAAAAAAGGTTTAGTGAGTGTTCTAATAAGGTTAGGAAATGCTTTACTACAGGACTTTAGAAGGTTAGTGGATTAATTAATGTATGTTGTAGAATTCCAAATGGTAATTTTTTTTAATTTTATTTTTTTAAATTTACATCCAAATTAGCATATAGTGCAACAATGATTTCAGGAGTAGATTCCTTAATGCCCCTTACCCATTTAGCCCACCCCCCCTCCCATAACCCTCAGTTTGTTCTCCATATTTAAGAGTCTCTTATGTTTTGTCCCCCTCCCTGTTTTCATATTTTGTTTCCCTTGCCTTATGTTCATCTGTTTTGTCTCTTAAAGTCCTCTTATGAGTGAAGTCATTTGATATTTGTCTTTCTGTGACTGACTAATTTTGCTTAGCATAATACCCTCTAGTTCCATCCATGGAGTTGCAAGTGGCAAGATTTCATTCTTTTTGATTGCTGGGTAATACTCCATTGTATATATACACCACATCTTCTTTATCCATTCATCCATCGACGGACATTTGGGCTCTTTCCATACTTTGGCTATTGTTGATAGTACTGCTATAAACATTGGGGTGCATATGTCTCTTCGAGACAGCACACCTGTATCCCTTGGCTACATACCTAGTAGTGCAATTGCTGGGTCGTAGGGTAGTTCTATTTTTAATTTTGTGAGGAACCTCCATCCTGTTTTTCAGAGTAGCTGCACCACCTTGCATTCCCACCAACAATGCAAAAGAGATCCTCTTTCTTCGCATCCTCACCAGCATCTGTTGTTGCCTGAGTTGTTAATGTTAGCCATTCTGACAGGTGTAAGGTGGTATCTCATTGCGGTTTTGCTTTGTATTTTCCTGATGATGAGTGATGTTGAGCATTTTTTCATGTGTCTGTTAGCTATCTGTATGTCTTCTTTGGAGAAGTGTCAATTCATGTCTTTTGCCCATTTCTTCACTGGATTGTCTGTTTTTTGGGTATTGAGTTTGATAAATTCTTTATAGATTTTGGATACTAACCCTTTATCCGATATGTCATTTGCAGATATCTTCTCCCATTCTGTCAGTTGCCTTTTAGTTTTGCTGATTGTTTCCTTCACTGTGCAGAAGCTTTTTATTTTGATGAGGTCCCGGTAGTTTTATTTGCTTTTGTTTTCCTTGCCTCCAGAGACATGTTGAGTAAGAAGCTGCTGCGGCCAAGATCAAAGAGGTTTTTGCCTGCTTTCTCCTCTAGGATTTTGATGGCTTCCTGTCTTACATTTAGGTCTTTCATCCATTTTAAGTTTATTTTTGTGTATGGTGTAAGAAAGTGGTCCAGGTTCATTCGTCTGCATGTTGCTGTCCAGTTTTCCCAGCACCACTTGCTGAAGAGACTGTCTTTATTCCATTGGATATTCTTTCCTGCTTTGTCAAAGATTAGTTGGCCATACATTTGTGGGTCCATTTCTGGGTTCTCTATTCTGTTCCATTGATCTGAGTGTCTGTTCTTGTGCCAGTACCATACTGTCTTGATGATGACAGCTTTGTAGTATAGCTTGAAGTCTGGGATTGTGATGCCTCCTGCTTTGGTTTTCTTTTTCAAGATCGCTTTGGTTATTCGGGGTCTTTTCTGGTTCCATACAAATTTTGGGATTGTTTGTTCTAGCTCTGTGAAGAATGCTGTTGTTATTTTGATAGTGATTGCATTGAATATGTAGATTGCTTTGGGTAGTATCGACATTTTAACAATATTTGTTCTTTCTATCCAGGAGCATGGAATCTTTTTTCATTTTTTTGTGTCTTCTTCAGTTTCTTTCATAAGCTTACTATAGTTTTCAGAGTATAGATTTTTCACCTCTTTGGTTAGATTTATTCCTAGGTTTTTATGGTTTTTGGTGCAACTGTAAATGGGATTGATTCCTTGATTTCTCTTTCTGTTGCTTCATTGTTGGTGAATAGGAATGCAACCGATTTCTGTGCATTGATTTTATATCCTGAAACTTTGCTGAATTCACGAATCAGTTTTAGCAATTTTTTGGTGGAATCATTTGGGTTTTCCATATAGAGTATCATGTCATCTGCGAAGAGTAAAAGTTTGTCCTCCTCCTGGCCGATTTGGATGCCTTTTATTTCTTTGTGTTGTCTGATTGCAGAGGCTAAGGTTTCCAATACTATGTTGACCAAATGGTAATTTTTGTGTACAGTGTTTACCAAGTCTATTTGACCAGTTAGTTACTCTTTGGTTTAAGAGACTAGTGTTCTGATGAATGTTTTAGGAAAATTAGCATTTTGCTGGGATGTTAGTTGCAAATGTTTTATCCTAGTTTGTTGGTTTTTTTTTATTGTGTTTTTCTTTTTTGTTACAAAGAAAATTTTAATTTTTATATTATCAGATTTATCAAAAAATTGTAATAGCTTGTAGACTTGGTGTCATATTAGAAGGATTTTCCCACTTTGAGATAATTTTTTAAATTGCTGTGATTTAGTAATTTTATGGTTTCATTTTCTGTGTTTAAAAAAAATTTTTTTTTTAACGTTTATTTATTTTTGAGACAGAGAGAGACAGAGCATGAACGGGGGAGGGTCAGAGAGAGAGGGAGACACAGAATCAGAAACAGGCTCCAGGCTCTGAGCGGTCAGCACAGAGCCTGACACGGGGCTTGAATTCATGGGCCGCGAGATCATGACCTGAGCCGAAGTCGGCCACTTAACCGACTGAGCCACCCAGGTGCCCTTCATTTTCTGTGTTTAAAACATCTTATCTCTATCTGAAATTTATTTTGGTGTGAGATGCGAGGCATAGGTCATTAGTTTTTCCTGATGGCTTCTTAACTGTCCCAGTTAACTAAATAAATCCGTGAGATGAATATAGAACCAAGTTAAAAAAAAAAAAAATCAATCAAAAAATCATTTTGTGATTTTATTACAATTACATTACATTTTAGATTCATCACTTGGAAAGAATTGGCATGTTTATGGTACTGAGCTTTCCTATCTAGGAATATGGTATATCATCTATTTTTATTATTATGGTAAATTAGAATATAAAATTTACCATGTTACCATTTTTAAGCGTACACTCACATTGTTGTGCAAATATCACCACCAACCATCTCTAGAAGTTTTTCGAACTGCAGGTCTGTACCCATTAAGTAATGATTCTCCATGTCTTCCTCCTCTAGCCTCTGGCAGCCACCTTTATTCTCTATTTTTTTCATGCCCTCTAGTAGTTTTACTGATTTATTTAAATTTCATATAGGTGTTATACATTTCGGAAGTTTATTCCAAGGTATTATATTATTTTTGGTGCCATTGTGAATGATATCTTTTCTTCCCCTGCTCCAGATTTTCAGTGGTTTCTTTCTTTTAAAATGTTTTATTTTGGAATGATTTTAGATTTACAGAAAACTTGCATCGGTAATGCAAAGAATTCCTGTATATTCCTGACCCAGTTTCCCCAAATGTTAACCCTATGTTACCATGGTATATTTGTCAAAACTAAGAAATCAATGTTGGTACATAGCTATTAACTAAATGCCAGACTTCATTGATTTCACCACTTTTCCCACTAATGTCCTTTTTTCTGTTTAAGGATCCATTCCAGGATAACATGTTGCATTTAGTAACAGATTACTCCTTAAAATTTCTATCATATATATAGCTACATTCCCTTTCTTATTCCAAATGCTGTTTTGTGCAGTTTTCCCCTTGAGTTTTCTTTAGGCTTGTTAAAGGTATGTTCATTTTTGTTGATCATTCTGAAAACCTGTGTTTGGTTATATTTATTGGTTTCTAGGTTGTTTTTTTTTAATGTGTTTATTTTTGCTTTTGCATTTATTCCTCCTATATTTTCTGGTTAATTTTGTCATTTTTCTAGTTCTTTGAATTGAATGGTCAATGTATTTCTAGCTTTTTTTTTGCTCAACAATAAAATAATTTGCAGATTGTAAGTTTATAACTTTGGCC